GGGAGAAGTGAGCCAGCCAAGGAAGCGCAAAGATAAAGTTTGAGAAGAAGCAGACAAAACCGGTTTCTGGAGAAGTCTGGCCTCAGCCTGATTCTGGACCTTGCCCTGCCCAGAGGCGAGGATAGAGGAGCCTCCCTGTCTTAACCTCCCCACACCCCACCTGCTGGGGGGATGCAGGGCGTGGGGTGGACAGCACACCCCCGGTGTGCCCTGGTCACCCAGCTCCAGGGGAGGGTCGTCCCCCAGGGAAGAGTGCAGGGTAGTCCATAAGCCCCCAGCCCTGTGGCAGCTGGTTGGAGGGCACTGCCCTGGTGAGTGGCTTCTGGACGGAGCCTGAGTGGCAACAGCTACCGTCACATAGCATGAAGAAAAGTCTCAGTGGTCCGCCAGTTGGTTCAAATCCCATCTTGGTCTATCTCCCAGAGGCCTAACTGCTGACCACTGGGCCCCATGTGCACTGAGTGCGGTTTTTACCTACTTTATCTGATTGGATTTTTTTCCAAAACAGAGTTCACCGTTTTCAAAAAAAAATAGGTAAGCTGCAAGTATCAGCTCATTTTTTGCCATGAAAGAAACTAGGAATTGGGGCTTTGAGAATCCGACCCTAGGGTCACATGCCAACAGCTGGTGGAGGCAGGATTCACAAGAGGGCTCTGGCTCTAACTGGCTTCCTCTCTTAACGGAGACATCTGAGCAGATGGAGTAAAGACCTTGGTATCAGAGGGAGTGGAAGCGCCGAGGCCACTTTCTGCACCACGTGGTGGGGTCTCTGGCTCCTCGCTCAGCACCCAGAGAGCTCCAGCTGCTGCTCTGGCCTGGAGCCGGGGCTCAGTCTCCCTGAATGAACTTCTGTCAGTGGGGAGCCTGTTATATCATGTCTCCCCGGCATCGACTCCCAGCCACTGTGGCCTGCGGTGATCTTGGCACCCTCCATCTGACCCAGCTCATGTCCTAGGGGCCCACGATTTCCATCGCTGGCTCTGCCTACTAGACAGACGTCCGCGTCCCGTCTCTTCCTCCACTTACCACCATTGGACGGCCTGGAAAGGAGCAGAGCAAGGACACTGGAGACGAGATTTCGGATGTAACAAGCAAAGGCTCGGATGTGCTGGGCGGGCCTTTCAGTCTCTTGAGTTTGCGTCTTCTCTTCTGCAAAATCTGAGCTCCATTTCTACTTCTCAGAGTTGTTATGTGGGTTAGAAGCAGCAACATAGTTAACAGGCCAAGCACATAGCAGGTGTGCAATAAAAGATAGTTATTTTTATGTGACAGACACACCTGCCCAGGAGACCAAGACATCGGGTGCTTGCTAAGTGCGTGGCGCCCTTCCGCTCTCGCAAGCGGTGGCTTCTGCAGTGATTACCCTCTCAGCATGCCACCTAGACGGGTCTCTTGCCTCCCCAGTCCCACCTCCTCCCCTCCCTGTGCCACTGCTGTGATGTCTGGAGCTTCCCTTCTCCAGAAGGTCCTGCTCTGGTGACCTCATTGCCGTCCACCCTCCAGCTCCATGGTGACTCCCCCAGGAAGTCTTTTAGGGGAAGAGCAGGGTCCCTGTGACCTGCACCTTAAGGGGCCCGGGGCACAGCTCCATCTCACCACCTTCAGGAAGAGTCTTCATCTCTTGTCATTTCTAAGAAACGACATTCGGGAGGAAGTCTGTGCTCTTTCTTCTCTCTGTGTGTGACCCTCAGTGTCAGACTCCCCATTCCCAGACAGCTATACCCCTAAATGAGCAATCATCCTCTCTCCCTTCTAAAAAGGTGACTTCCGGCAGGACCATGCCTTAAATCTCCATTTCCTCCTTTCTATAACATAGCTCATTGATTTCTCCCAGGAATGCGGCTGAATTAAATGCCAAACTACAGCACACACTGCCCTGCTGTCCCTGCACACAGCTGATGCCGTGTCTAGAACCTCCCAAGCCCCTCTGAAGACCCAGAGTAAATAATGAATGACTGTTCACTCCAGTCTCATTTTCATGATGGCTTAATAGTGAGCACATTGCAGGAGCCAAGAAGAAAAGTCTAATTTTGATCAATGATGCTGACCTCTGACCCCAGGCCTACGAACAGCAGGTGCCGGCCACTGGCCTCTCCGCCCTCTGTCTCCCTCTCCCTTCAGCTGAGCAGCATAGATGTGCCCAGAAACACATCCTGAGTTTTGCTAAACTCACACGTTTGTAGGCTGAGCCTGATGAGCAAATGGTGTTAACAGGATGAAGCACTTTCAGGTCCTGAGGGAAGGGAGGGGGCAGGGTTATTCTAACCCGGGAATATTCCAAATCCAGTAGCCAGGGCTTTGCTCAGCTGCTCTCAGGGGCCTTTCTGGAAGGGCCTTCAGGCTGCCCTGCGGCTGGGCTGATTGGGGCAGGAGCCTCACTGCCTCCTGCTGGCACCTGTTTCTGTTGATAGAATGTCTGGGGTCACCAGGTGCCCACTAGGTAATATTCGGCCTTTCTCAGGACAGGCCTGGGTCTATGCAGGGCCTCCTCTGAGTTTGCCTGTGCTTGGTGACACCTACACACCTGGCCAGGTCTACAGGGGTGGCTTTTCACTTGTACACCATCCCAGTGACCGGCTGGGGTTGGAACACAAGTGAATGAACACTGCCAGTAGGACCTCTGACCTATATGAATACTCCCTAGTCAAGATGCACGCTGAAATTTAAAATAAAAATATTGAATTTACATCCACCAATCATTTCACATTGGTCCACCCCCTCCCATCAACTACGCCAGCCCCGCAGGTGGATCACACCGTGGGCTGCTCTTATCGTCCTTCTCCCCACCCCCCCACCACCTTCCCACCCTCCCCTACCCCCCACCCTGCCACATGCAGGCTTCAACCAGACCACCCCATCGGGCAGTTACAGGCAAGGAGTGTCCTCTTGTCCCCTTGGGAGTCAGACACTCTCAATGGAGTTTCCTCTCAGTCACCAAATTCCTGGACAGGTTGGAAACTTGACTTAACCTCTCTGGGCCCACATATCTATTCTGCCCTGTTAAATGAGTTTGGTAAAAGCCCGATCCAGGGACAAGCTATAGAGAAAGTGCTCGGTGTATCGCAAAGAGCCGTGTCCACACGGAGCCTGCTACACATATTTCTGCTGCTTCCCTGGGGAAGATGGTGGCTTCATGACAACCCTGATGGCACTTCTGAAGAGGAGGCATCCTCTGTGTTGCCCGTGCACGACCTGGGGTGGGGCCTGGGCCACGCTGAGGTCAGGCCAGGCTGGGGCCTCTGACACATACCCAAGGTGACTCACTTCCCTGATAACCTGAGGAGAAAACTGCAGGCAGCCTCTTGCCCTTCCTCTCGCCGGGCCACGCCTCTTAGGACAAAAGACGTTTGGCACCAGAAAAGAAACGCCAAGTGAAGCCAGGAAGAACTGGCTCTGAGTCTAAGCTTTTCCTTTTGAGTTCAGAAAGAGTCGGGCAATAAATAACTAACCCGTACTTTGTCTTCCAGTGGACTCCAAGCCCTGGCCAATGGGCAGCGTGACCTTGAGCATGTTCCTCAGGTTCTCAGGGCCCACTTCCTCCTCTTTAAACTTGCCATAATTTCTGTATCTTGGGGCCTCTTGGGGGAAATTTCATTGAGTTCTTCTGTGTCGAGGATTGATAACGTCTATTTCTGTCCTGTTCCTTAAGCATAAACCCTATCAGGAAATGGGTTTTCTTTGCTTGTATTTTCTCTTTGACTGTAATGAATGTTATACTTTCATAAAAAAAAAAAATCAAAGCTATTTTATTCTGTAAAAGAGAAATTAGATGAATTGTGCACAAGGAAACCAAGGGTCAGAGGGGATTATGTGGCCATCTCCCAAACCCGGCTGTTGGGGACAGAAGTGAGACCCCAGCCTGGCCTCTCCTCCTGGGCCCGGGGCAGGGGTTTCCTGTGTGCTCAGCTCATCTCTTTCTAACTTAAACTTCTGGGGATTTAAATTTTCGTTCACACTCAGGACTCCCAACTTAGAGTTGGTTTTGAAACGGACAGTATGTTTATGTCTTAGTACAAATTGATCTTTCAGGAACTAGATTAAAACAGGCTCCCAGACTAGGCAAAGGCCGCCCTGTAAGTCAGCTTTTCATAGAGCCTACAGGATGAAGACCCAAGTAGACTTTGCAATTTCTGCTGTCTAGTCTCAGTGGCTTTCTAGAAGCCATTAGCCCCCTGGGCTAAAGAACACGGCCCTACGACCATTCTGAAGGCCACGTGTTTAATCCCCTTTAGGGTTGCTTGTGCCCTTTGCTGAAATCACAAGTGTATGTAAATATTCTTTGAGGCAAAGATGAGTCAGAAGGGATCTGTGGCCGGTTTTCACTGCATTCCTGTCCTTAGTATTGCTTTGCTCACTTTGAGTTTACACTGGGTTAAAATCCACAATCAGATTCTTGCTGAAGTCGGGGATGGCTGGAACGGTCACATCCCAGAATCCCAATGAAGATAAATCTTACAATGCAAGTAAGAAATAAATCGGATAGCCACAGTGAGACATCAAAAATTAAAAAGGACAACGCACAAAGGAGCGGGGAGAGCAAAACATGTACCAGCTAAGAATTTTTTTTTTTTAAGTAGTAAAAGAATCTAGATTTTTCAAAGAGTGCAAGCAACACAGGAAGCTGTTTTGAGTTGGGGGCAAGTTAATTATATTCAAAAAAAGATACTGTCTCTGGAAAAATCTTTTTTTCTTTTTTTGGTTGCAGTGAAATATTTTAGTTCCTTTGTATAGAGACATATTACACGTTAACAACCATGAAAAACGATACAAAATGCCCTCCATTTAACAAGTAGAAAAATATAACTAGTATATATGGCAATTGTGAATCTAATACTGTACAGAAGTAGTTTATGGATTTTACAAATAAATTATAGCTTAAACGCCTTTTGAAAATCCTTTTCCCGCCCTCCCCCAGCTGTACAGCAGAACTTACTTAGAACAATAGCAACGTCTCCGGGCCTAGTTTATTGCCAATCAGTGCCAGTCAAATGTCCTGCCGACAAGCTCGAAGAATTTCTTATTTGGCTCGTGGAAATATTCGTGCAGTTTGTTGAGCAGTTTGGGGTCGACGTGGGGGTGTGCCCGGCCTTTGGACTCGTGCAAGCAGCGGTCCCGGCCGCTGTCCCGCAGGCAGTAGAAGCCCTTGGTTTTGTTAAAGTAGAAATTGGAGGCGTTGATCTGCGGGGACAGCTTCAGGAACCGCTCGACCTTCTGGATCTCGGGGAAGGGGTCCCTGATGAGGCGGTCTCCGTCCACGATGTGGATGCGTCGCAGCGGGAAGAAGTGCAGCCAGCGGCGCAGGTGCTCGTGGTACAGGCTGCGGTTCAGCGCCTTGTAGTCGGCGTTAAGGCGGCCGCCGCGCAGCAGGAACTGCTCGATGGCCGGGTAGGGCTTGCGCTTCTGCACGTGGTTGTAGAGCACCTGCGTGTAGTCGGACAGGACGCGCTCCGACGGGTCGCGCAGGATGAGCAGCAGGCGGACGGCCGGGTTCATGCTGTGCACCCGCTCAGGCACTTTGGGCGACGTGAAGTACGCGGGGGTCTTCTCCACCGTGAGCTGGCGCGGGGACGAGAAGGGCATCTGGCTGAGGTACCAGCCCAGGCCCTGGCTGTAGTGCTCCTCCCAGTCAAAGAAGTGCACCTCGTTCTCGGCGGCCGCCACGCCGGGGTGCAGGCTCAGCATCTCCAGCAGCGCGCGCGTGCCGCCCTTGCGCACGCCGATGATGATGGTCTGGGGCAGCTGCTGCACCGAGCCGTTGCGGGCTCCGCTGCCCCGGCTGTCCTCCTGGAGGGTCCCGGTTTTCTGAGCGACCTCGGGCTGGTCCGGCTCAGCCCCGGGGGTGGCGGCGGGGCGGGAAGGCGCCAGCTGGGGCTGGGCCACCAGCAGCACCGCGCCCAGGAGCAGCGCGGCCATGCCCGACACCACGGTGGCTTCACTGGGCCACGCGCTGCTGGGTCATGAAGCTGCAGTGGGCCGCCTCTGGTCAGTGACGCATGGGTGCTGCAGGCTGCCAGTTACTGAGGAACAAAGAAGGGACAGGTTAGGCCAAAATAAAGGTGGGACGATCAGATTAACAGTGTCCACTCTGCAGTGGACACTACGTTCACCTCCCTGGGACTCTGAGCTGCTTTATTCAATGCTGAAGCACCGGTGGTGGCCTCCATTCTCTGCACAGGCCCAGAAGGTAAGTATTCTGGGCTTCGGGGGACATAACAGTCTCTATGGCAACCCCACTGCGATGCAGCTGGCATGAATCTAACGCGGCCACTGGCCACACACAAAGAAAGGGGCGTGGTCGTGTTCCAAGGAAACTTTATTTGTAAACACCAAAATTGGAATTTCATATCTCATTAAATGTTATTCTTTCTTGCTGTACTTACTTATTTTTGGAATCATTTGTATGTTTAGCTCGTTGGCTGGACAGAAGTCAGGCCAGGCTTGGCTGACCAGTGAGTTTCCAACTCCTGCTGTAGAGGAGATGGTTGGGAAGGTCCTTCACACCTTAGTAAACACCAGTGAGACACCTGTGACTTGCCAGCCCCCGGCCGAGGGGCAGGTGACACAGAGGCTGGCTTTGTTTCTGCATCTGGCTACTCCCATCCCCTCTGGAGGGCTCTTCAACTAATACTACATCAAGCAGGTCAATCAGTACGGGAGGTTCACTGTTCACTGAGCTGAAGTCTCAGCTCTTCACCCTGCATGGTCTGCCCTTGACCACTCCTCACCGTGTGGAGTGTGCTTCCCAGCAACTGGGTCTGGGCTTGGCCAAGGTCACGTGGTTAGATATGAGGAAAGGCAGGTCCCCACCCAGGCCTCAGAGGCCTTGTGTGTTTCTACCAGGCCCTGTCAGAAGAAGACTGCACCCTGGTCAGCCTGTGGGCCCCCAGGGGAGCGCGAGAGGCTGGTACAGCAGGCTGTCCCCTGAGTCCAGTGCATGCAGCTCAGCCACCCCAGCCCACGAGTTTTGGTATAGTTTGCATCGCAGCCGAGATTGGGAAGGGTCATGGGTGCAACCTGACTACAGATGTCAAGGTGATGTGTGTTACGCCCCTAACTGAGGGACTGTAACGTCGCCTAAAACAGCTGGAGATGGAAGGAGTGTTCGAAGTGGGCCCAGAGCAGTGATTTTCAACCCAGGTGCCACGGCACACAGGTGTGCCGTGAGAGAATCTTAGGTGTGCCTCAAAAAGTTTATAGATTATTAATAAACTAATTTTTGAAAGAAGTTCAAAGCATAGTAAAGATATTCTTCCTCTTTGTTTTGATCAGCATAATTGAAGTGTGCTGCTAACTATAGGGCCAAGTGGGCTGTGAGATAAAGAAGGTTGAAAACCACTAGCCTAGGGCGGCGCCTGTGGCTCAGTGAGTAGGGTGCTGGCCCCATATACCGAGGGTGGTGGGTTCAAACCTGGCACTGGCTGAACTGCAACAAACAATAGCCAGGCGTTGTGGTGGGCACCTGTAGTCCCAGCTACTTGGGAGGCTGAGGCAAAAGAATCATCTAAGCCCAGGAGGTGGAGGTTGCTGTGAGCTGTGACGCCACAGCACTCTACCGAGGGTGATAAAGTGAGACTCTGTCTCTACAAAATAAATAAATAAATAAATAAATAAAACACTGGCCTAGAGGATTAAACAGGTGAAATGATTAGAAAGAGTAAAAAACCTTCAGGTGTACAAAGCTTTACTATTCATACAGTCTTGGTCAGCTCTGCTGAGGGTCACCACAGCCCTACAGGGCCAGCTGGGAGGCGGCAAGGGCATCACTACCATTTCACGGGTGATACTCTTGTCTAAGCCCACAAATGTGTAGTCTAGTCCAAACTCACATCCCAAATTCAAAATTCTCAATGCAGGGCTTTTTTTTTTTTTTACCGTTTTTGGCCAGGGCCAGGTTTGAACCCACCACCTCTGGTATATGGGGCTGGTGCCCTACTCCTTTGAGCCACAGGCACTGCCCTGCAGGGCTCTTTTTTTCCCCGCACAAACCAACTCCCTCCTATCAAACTTCTCCTCTTTACCTATGTCAGGTTTATCACATTCAGGTTGGAAAGTCCCTCGAGGTCACAGAGACTCCCTCCCTACACCCTGCCAGTTCCAGTTCATGGGCGAGTCAAGGTTCCTGATTTTAAAGAGCTGATACACAACAGCAGCCTGTGCTTGACAATCTCCCCCAGAGGAGGTTAAAGCTCTCATTTAAGTCACCCCTGTCTAAACACATTAGAGAAAAGGTTAAAGACCAGTCCAGCCTGGAGACGGTGGGATTTACAAATGCAGGAAAAACGTTCTCCATGAAAAGGATCCATCGTCATCTTTATAGCAGTTTTATCGTTTAATTCATTAGTTAAAAACTTTTCCAGAATGAATAAAAGAAGAATGAATTCTCAGACTTGCAATTGTATGATCAACCAGCTGATTTGCCCCTGAGATTGTGTAATCTGCCTTGAAAATCACATATTAAAGAGAAGCAATTAAAGGAATAGAAGTCTCGCGGGAACCACGTTACGACGGAGAAGGGACTTAAGAGGCTGAAATGAAAGTCTTAGGAACAAACAAATGCTTAGGCTGAATGGCCAAGCAAGACATGGTTTCAAGCCGGGCGCGGTGGCTCACGCCTGTAATCCCAGCACTTTGGGAGGCTGAGGCGGGAGGATTGCTTGAGCTCAGGAGTTCGAGGCTTGTCTGAGCGAGAGTGAGACCCCAACTCATGGGAAAAAAATGGAAAAACCCAGCCGGGCACCGCGGCGAGCGCCTGTAATCCCAGCAGCTTTGGAGGCTGAGGCAGCAGGATGCCTACAAGCTGGAGTCTGAGGTTGCAGTGAGCTACAATGCCACTGCACTCTGCTCAGGGCAAAAGGTAGAACTCTGTCTCGACAAAAAAACAAAAAACAAAAAACAAAAAACAAAAAAAAACAAGGCAACTGTGCGTATATGCTCAAAACAAACAAACAAACAAACAGAAAAAAAGACATGGTTTCAGGTTGGTCCTTCTGATTAGATCAACTCAATTTAATGGACCATTTGCTTCCATCAGCTGAAAGTTTCACTGTGTTTTAGTCAAATTGCATTTCCTTCTCAACTGCCCAGGTAAGGTGGAGGAGCATGGGAGAGCCAGGAAGAGACTAGAGGGGATACTCTGTATCAGGGACATCCCACCTCTGGACACAGCAACCGTCCCATGCTGTCAACCCCAAGGGATCAAGCCAGGGGCCAGACGTGACATTGACATTGTTGGACCATAGCGCCCCTTCCACTCTGGCCTGAGCCGCTCTGGTTAGCACTGTGCACAGCTGAGATTTTTTCCTAAAGGGGAATTACTGGTCGACAGCAGGGAAGAAACTGAATATAGTATGTCCTTTATGATAAAAAAAAAGGAGGGGCCAGCTAGTAGTTTCAAAGCTCCTTGTTTGTACTTTAATACTTTCCAAAAATTTATTTACTTAAGTCTAGACTTTTTTCATTCCAGAAATATTTGATGTATACGGAAAAAAATAGCTACAGTCTTATACACACATATGGCGTATACATACACACATGGTATATGTAGCCTGTGGAGAGAGCACATACACACACGTGTCTGTGTAGAAGGCTCTGCCTGTGTACACGGATAAAGGCTGTATGCACGCCTGTTCTTAAGCAGCTGTATACACACATAAACACAGGTAACATACATTGTATCAACACACACAGTGGGCAATGGAGGCCAAATTCCTTTTTTTTTTTTCCTACCCCTTCAAAAGCAAGACCAGCTTCCTCTTGTATGGTTTGTTAATTTGCACTTCCCACTGCCACAGACAGGATTTCTGGGCCTTTTAGTAACACTCTCAGAAAGGAAAGGATCCCCAGGCTCGGGTGAACCTGTAAGCCAGGCCTCTAGGCCACCGTGATCTTGACAGTGGCGATACACACATCAGCTCAGAAGAGTCATTTAGTCTCCCTCACACACCCCAAAGTCACACAGACACTCTGCACCTCTAACTTTCGGCTCCTGAGCTCCAGATCTGCAGGTGAGCTGCTGGTATTGTTAACAATAACCAGTAAGTGGGAGGTTATAACATCTAAGACACTGTTTGGGGATTCCAGAGAAGGGACACCCAAGATAATCTACCGGAGCAGTGAGTAGTCTGGCAGCCAACCCCAGAACAAGCTGACACGCAGGCCCACCACGAGGTCCAGTGCTGACACACAGGTGGGGCCCAGCACAGGGTCCAGTGCTGACACACAGGCCAGGCCCACCACGGGGTCCAGTGCTGACACACAGGCCAG